GATAAAAAAAAAAAAAAAAAAAAAAGGAGCTAACTCCTCTATGCTCGTCTCTCTTGCATTGCACTACTTTTCTTTCTTTTTCACTTTTTTTTTTTATTTTGATTTATTTGTCTCATTTTCTCTTTGAAGAAGTTCGGTTGGTTTGGGAGTGAACTATGTGCAGAAATTTACTGTTTTTGTGACCCATATGCAGATTTTTAATATTTCATGTGTTCTAAGCTATTTTGGGAACAAGTTATATGTAGATTTTCATCGCTTTTGTGCTCCGAACTCTTTTGAGAAAGAGATGTGTTTATGCTTATTTCAAATGACACTAGTTTGTGAGATCCCTCCAAGTCTAATGCTTTGAAGCATCATACATTCAAACTCATTATTTCCATGCAATTGTATTGTTCATTAATTGTTTTGCTTTTACTGGAATACTATTTTGATGATATACTCATCCACTTGAACTTGCTTTACAAAATTTCACATGAAAAGTTCTAGATAGTTTTGTATACACTTGTTATGCCTCACCAAGTCTAGAGAACCTTCATGTACTTTATGATTCATTCGAGTATGCGAGTCAATTTGATGCAAGGGCTGCATGCTTTATGTTGGGTGATTTTCTTCGAGCAAAACATGAAGTTTTTATTAGAAGACCTTAATGTTCTCTTGGAGTAGAATTAATTTTCTATCAAAACATGCTTTCTCTTACTTTTATTTAGCTTTGAAGTTGGTTGGAAAGCATCATGAATCTCATGTTTGTGTGACTCATATCATAATAAAAAAAAGACAACACGCTTAGCTATCAAAGTTAATATGTGATGAAACATCTATATACTTCATTCTCTACTTGATTGAGTTTTGTATGGGAAATGCTAATCAACAATTGTATTTGAAAATTCTTATATACCTTTTGTTTCAAACATAGACTTGGCATATAATTGATTTAGCCTTAGGTTGAATAATTGAAGAGTTTTCTTGCAGCATAATGAATACTTTTATATTATTGTTGTTTATGAGTTTTTTTTAGTTCCGTAGTCGCTAAATAACAATATGAATATGACATTAAGTTATGGGTAGATTATGTTAAACAATTCAAGTTTGGAATGTTATGGTTACACTTTAGCAAATTGATGTGAAATATAATAGTTTAATATCACCTATTTTCTCTTATTTCAAAGTCTTTAATAGGATTTATATAGATTTGTGTCGCAATGAGGCTCTTTTCTTATCGTTTTGGTAAAAGTCTTTGCATCAAATTTTATAGATTTGGTCGCTAACGAAGATTGTTTTGAGAGCCTTTTGGAGGTTTTTGTGAATTATTTTTGTATTGAGAGGTTTTGTGAACTTGCTTTTTGTAGGAAAAGATTCTGTTTTGCTTATGTTAAGATGGCTTAGCATTAGCTTTAGATCGATTTTATTTTAAAAGTTTTATGCGACGAATTTCATGAAGGTTTTACAACGAGAGGTTGTATACAACTTTCTTGTTGGAAAGCTTTACGGATCTACCCACTCCAAATAAAATAGAGAAGCACTTGATTGTTGTTTTTTTTTTGTCAAGGTCGTTTTGGTAGATTGCTTATGAAAAGATTTCTATGCATTGTTTCATTTTGGAGGATTTTCATAAGATATTGTTTTGGGGTAGATAAATTTTGTGAGGTAAATTTGTGTTAGGAATTTTTCTAGATCTTTTTTTTTTGGATGAAATGATTTGTCTT